GAAGCGATAATAATAATTTGTATCAGTGAAACGTGTCTTTAAGTCGACTTATGGTGTATCATAGAAAACTATGACAGTTTTTGAAGAGCCATCAATTTTTTGAACTTTTCATTACCACTTCTGGTAAATAGGAGTTTTTATTAAGAGATTAAGAACTTCGGAAAGACCCCTTAAGCTGTTTACTTGCTTCTTTTAATAACCGAAATGTCGAGTATTTCTGTCAGAATAAACGAGGATTAGTGGTTTATTAAATCTTCCGCAGTAACTGCAACCAAGAATGCATTAATATCGCGATTTGCTAAAAAATGAAGAACAATGATAAACAAAATTTGAGAATCGTGTCATTATTATCAACGTTTGCTATCGTACATTTCCCGTATCTCTCGTTATCAATTTCGCTGAGTAGAAAATTTGACAAAAATAATTAGGAGTTCTAGAAAATTCTGCAAATCTGCTTGACTCTCTCGATAAAACCGAGACTAAGTATTTTCTCGAAAATAATCGAGGATTATCGATTCATAGAACGCTTCTTACAACCTGTAACCGAGAATATCCTTATCACGCATAATCGCTTATCATGCGAAAACAAACATTCATAGAAATAAACACGTACGGGAAATAAAATCTACAAGTTCTGTACAAACACGAGCAGCAAACGATGAAGCCTCTCGAAAACCCTTCGCGACGAAGAATGTGGAGAAATATGTAGGTACTTGAAACACGCACAATAAAGAAAAGGTAAATCGGTAATATACCAATATACTTGCATGTAAGTCTCGGTATGAAGGTACGAATGTGTGTACATATATGAGAATGAGCGTTTTAAGTACGAGCATGTGTTCTCGTCTATAAGAATATTCGGTACTGTATTTAAACACGTTTGTATATACACTATCATTGATAAATATTGGACCACTTGTAATCTAAAAGACTATAGCAAGGTTACAATATTTTTAAGTAGAATACTTTTAAGTAGAGCGAATGTAAGTGTATATGATCGACATGAGGCATTACTAGTTAATAAATTATATTATTAAATTATTAAATACTCCGTTCATTTATATATCCATCAGCAATGGCGACGTTTACGATTCGAAGCAATCTAGCAACAAGCTATTTTATTCCTTTCTTTCGAATTTTTAGACACTTTCTAATAATATATACAAGACCCTAATATATTTGCATATTATACGAAGTCCTAATATCTGAAAGTAAAAATGATCAAAGAACGTCTATCATCCTAATTTACTATACTGAGGGTTAACACTAAGTTTATGGATATTTCTTGTACAAATATCTCTATGAACACATATTGACATTTTATTTAAAATTCAACTTAAAAAGCAACATAATTATATACTAATATAAGTGAAACTATAAGATATATATTTATATAAAATTTATAATAATTGTAGGTATTATTTTGACTTTTAATAAGTGCATTTAAATTATATTTCTGTAATTTTCATTGTGAAATTCGACATCTGTCGAAATGACGTGCCCCACAAATTTATTGTTAAGAAACACTCGCACCTTAAAGCTGTCCATAACGACACAATTATACATTCTCATAAATGAAATTATGAGATATATATTTATCTAAAATTTATGATATTTGTAGGTATTATTTTTATTTTTATTAAATATATTAAAATTGGGTTTTTGTCATTTTCGTCGTGAAATTCGACACCTGTCAAAATGACGTGCCCCACGAATTTATTGTTAAGAAACATTCGCACCTGGAAGGTGTCCACAACTATATTTTTCCTCGAAAATTGTAGATCTCTGCCGAGGTCTAGACCACGGCGCCAGGTGAACTCCGAAGCTTGATAAATGAAAGATTAACCGAGTAATTGAGGATGACAATATATCCAACGACGCGATTTCCAAACCACAGTATCGCTGATCGGCAGATAAAAAGTCGAAATCGTGTCACGTTGCTCGAGCAATCGCGACGTTTCCAAGTGACTCTGCCAGAACCCGTGACGCACGTGAAAATCCCGACATTATAAAAACCGGTGCTCGTTTACACGAACCGCCAATTGTGCGAGATAACAGCTCCAGATACCTGATTCGCGTAATCGCTGATACCTTATCGAGGAAACGCAAGGTGGCGTTCCTATCGGTGCCGTGGAAACTCGAGATTCGATGGGATATCGCGTCACTCGCTCGCGAAGCTTCGAGTTGGAAAATTTTGCACGATTCACAGAGACGTGGACAGGATTTGCTAATATCGACGATACAATCGAGACTGGCTCGAAATTTCGAGTAGAAAATCGAGACACGTGATGGTGATTTAGCAATGGAATAATGATGACATAAGCAAGTCCGATTCGCAGGTCTTTGAGTAGAAAAGTTTTCCTGATTTCGAGGTACTTGTCGGTTATTGGATCACATTGGTCGATGGAATATCAGAGATATAAGCAATTGTTCTGGATGGAGAAATTTTTAGACGAAGTAT